AATTGATAAAAAAAAATCAGCTGCCGTACATTTGTAAACAACATACAATTAATGTCGGTGTATTTGATAAAGTTGTGAGTCTGACACAGTGAAACTGCAGTAGCACTCTTTTGCCAGTAGGTGCCTCCATTTTGCCAAATCGAGCAGAAACTTGCGTACGCCTTGTCTGGGGTTGCCGTGAGAATGTGCGTGGCGGTACGCCAAGTTTAGTTTTTATACATCTCGATGTGAGCGTGGAAACGGGCGTGCGCAACATTTTTATGCGTAAGCACCGTTTATACATGAGGCCCCAGGAGTCCAACATTTAGGACTGACATGCCCATTATTTCTAGGAATTTATCACAAATAGACAAGTTAGAAGCTACTTTTAGCCTTAAGATGCTTTGTGAATACGGACCAAGACTGTGCAATAAAGTCTTCCAACCATTAACTTACCTTGGAAGTTAGGTCTATCATTTAGAGTTACAGAAAAGTGAAGACTGCAAAACAGTTACTAAAGAACAGCTAGAAATAGCTAAAATAGCCAGAAGACAATTCTCTGTTAGTTGGTTTCAAATGAGAGCATAAAGAATGAAGTGCGTCATAGTAAAACATGGAGGTGACAAGTGTAAGCTTTCCTGCTTGATCACCACACGTGAAAATGGACCTCAGGGAATCTATGCATTGAATTCAGAGGTGGAGCCGGACCGTGAAACAATAGATATTTTTCAATTGTCTCATGAAACACATGTGCGCGCACACACACACACAGGTTAGTAATTTTATCTTTGTGGGGACTAATGTTTTTCCATTGTCACAACCTCGGGAGTTTCTATCAGGGGGTGTGGCATGGTGCAGGCAGGAAAAGGTGGATGATCCACTGATGGCGCCGCAAAACAGGGATTTATTAACAGAACATGAGAACACGAGGAAACACTACAAAACAAACAGACCACAATGGGTCAAAACTAAAAAGGGGTACAAAAATACTAACAGAACAGAATAATCTACAAAGGGAAACTGGTTACACAGAGAACAGGCAGGTAATCAAAAACTAGCAACCAGGGGGGTATTCCAGAAAGCTTGGTTAACTTACCATTTGGTAAATCTTAACCTCTGGGTTGATATACCCCAAACCCGCAT